GACTCTTATTCCCAGGCGAGCAATTTTCATATTCCCAAAGTGAATTTGAAGTCCAATTTTTCTGGAATAATTTATTACTTAATTAAAAAAAGATCAAATTTCTGATGGAAATCAAGCGACCAAGTTGGTTCGAATTCGGTTTTCTTTGGTAATCACTTGACGATGTATGATCGCGTCACAAATTTCGTTTGAAGCCCGCTTCATCAGGAGCGTGATGCTCGTTTGTCACCACTTGGGGAAGTGAACAAGTAGCAGTGTCATGTTAGCAGGGACTCTAAGGAGGATCTTTTAATGGAGTGATGTCTTCACTTTTTTATTTTGCAGAAGGATTGTAGTTTACATTAGTAAAGTACATTGTGATCACTAGCATAACCTGAATCAGGTTTGATCTTGCATTTCAATTTTACCTTTATTGTTAAAAAGAACAAACAACAGAATGATTGAACTAGTTGGAAAGGAGGCCTTAGACACTAAAAAGAAACAGAGAAAGTAAAGATGGCATAATTGACAATTATCGATCGATTAGTAAAGATAAATTAGAATTTGCTATTACTCTCGGAACGAAGATTGAATGGTGATTTTTATTTAAAAACGGCAAGCTTTATGATAGGTACCATTAACCATTTAGTTGAATACAGACTTCACAGAGGGGAGGAACGTCAAAGTCACAAAAGTCGAGAGGAGAAACGGAAGAGTGATTTACAGATGTAAAAGGGTCAGACACAAAGACAGAAAAATGGTAAGATGAGTACTGTGTAAGTGGTGGTATGTCATAGTGTTGGATCATGGTAGTTTGAAGTGAGAAGTCAATTGCCGATTAATAGACTTTTGCCATATGGACTTTGACATCTAGGTAGACAAAATCAGTAATAATCGCCACCTTAAACTCGAAAATCGCTCCATTTTTCCTCTAATATAAGCTTCAAATGGACAAAATATCGGACGTGTAACTAATTAGCGTTCTCAGAAATGCTGCTAAATATCATTTATTTTATATCAAATGGCAGGCGTTTTGATGATTATCATTAGTCCTGTACTTGACTTCAGGCTTCACAGAGGGAAGGAACATCAAAGTGAAAAAGTCGAGAGGGTGGGGGTTGGGAAACAGAAGAGTGTTTCAAAGATGTAAAAGAAACAGAAAAAAGGTGGGGTGAGTACTGTGGAAATAGTCGAATATGACACACAGTGGGGTCATGGCAGTTTGAAGTCAGAAGTCAACTGCCGGGTGATGGCAGTTTGAAGTGAGAAGTCAACTGCCAGTTAATAGACTTTTGCCGTATGAGAATACGTTGCCCAGGGAGTTTATAAACTTTTTTTGCCGTATGAGTACACGTTGCCCAGGGTGCACCATGTGGAGGTAAGTCTATCGCACACTCATGCTGCTAAATATAAAAAAACAGATTTTTGAAACCATTTCTATGGATAAGGAAAAATAGTGAGAAAACAACTTATTAAAGAAGTCATTAAAGCATTAAATCCACAGACAATTTCCAGGCCATTTCATTACATTTGTCCTGAAAAGGTCAATCAATTTCTTGTTTACCAGTCCAGAAAATAGTGCCAATTAGGCATGTCTCTTTCTTTAATGAAATGGTTCATTCAAAATCCAATTTTGTACATTGCCCACGTGCATGGGTGGAAAGTCGCTGAAGTTTCAGAATTTGACGCTGTTAGGCACCAGCACGCAGGCATCAATCCTGCAAATACACGAAGTGTTGAGGTGAATGACGAATAAGTTTCATCATTGTGTCAACATTGTTAATTTTTAAGCTGCATTCTTGTGCTCGTTTATTCTAGCCTGTAATAATTAGGTAGAAGAGAAAAATAAATGCTTAGTTAATAATAAATTGGAGGCTTTTAAGTTGAATAAGTTCTCCAGGTATATGAATAGGTTAAAGTTAATTCCCGTGAACGGGCCAATGAGGAAAGTTGAAATTGCTAAAGGTATCTATACTAATTTGAAGTCCGAATTATAACCATTTTAAGCCTATCCGGCTCGAATTCTCAGGAGTGTTATAAGATACAGCCTTGGGCTTTATCATAATATTATTTATTCTGTTACAGAGGTTGAATTTTCAGAGTTAGTTGCCCCGAGTAGGTAACATCAATGGCACACTATCTGCCCAATGACAGATCTGCTTCAGGACAATTTATTCTAGCCAATAATCAGTTTAAATTTTTTTGTGAAATTCATGAGTACCTTTCATGTTGATCAAGGATGATAAAATGTATGCTGATTGATTAACTCAGTAAATGGCATTGTTAACATGTCGAATAAATGCGAATTGAGACATAGGGTTCCATTTTATCTCAGATATGAGGTGGAGAAGAAACTGCGGCATTTATTTAATTGTGACAGGGGTGTGCGATAGACTTACCTCCACGTGGTGCACACTGGGCAACGTATACTCATGCGGCAAAAAAGTCTATTAACCGGCAGCTGACTTCTGAATTCAAGATATCATGACCCCACTGTATGTCATATTCGACCACTTTCACAGTTCCCACCACACCTTTCATCTACCTTTGTGTCTGTCTCTTCTACATCTTAAAACACTCTTCTGTCCCCCCCCCCCTCTCGAATTTTTTGCTTTGATGTTCCTCTCCTTCTGTGAAGCCTGAAGTCAACTAAAGGGCTAATGATAACTATCATAAACCCTGCCATTTGATATAAATAAATATTCATTGATAGATTTTTTACTTAACCCCAAGTCCTACAACTGGAAGCATCTTAATTCAAAAAGTATTATTACCACCCTGGACTATTTTTCAAGCCCAAATTTTCATACTTTCCATTTTATTCTCTATTCACTATTTATTATATCAAAAGTAATCTAACTTTGTCACTTAAGAATTATTATTTAAATCCGCAAAATGAAAAAATCGCGCATAAAATATTAAGAAAATTCCCGAAAAATATGAAAATAAATTTCATCATTCATTGAAAATATTTCCTGCTTAATTTTCCTCTAACCTATCTCGAGCAGACAAGTACACTATTGTTTAAATTGGGTTGCCATAGAATATTTCGCTAAATTTGAGTGTTCACGGCCTCTTTTGGGCTCACAATGTTAAAATAATTTATAACTCTGCGTCCTCATTGTTTTTTAATTATGCTGACTTACCACAGCAACCTTGGCGCAGATGATTGCAAGGCTCTCCACCAAATATTGGCTTAATTTAGGTCGGTTACTTGGGGCATTCTATAGGCGAATTAGCAATTATTATTTCAATGAAATTAAAAATAATTTAAAATACAGATGGTACTTGTTCTCACGTTTGCAATCTCATCCAATCGAATGGAAATGTCCTGCTCCAAAGTAGTGGCAGCATTTTCTAGAATTTTCGCTTGATTCTGAAAATTGAAACAAAAGTTTATTCTCTGACCATACACTGAGAACTTGGTTACTATACGCAGACTATCTCTCTATGCAAGATGGTTGTTGGAAAACGTCTTCCTAAATAGTCTTGAAACTTATTAATGATTCTTGAAGAATAACCACCGTTGTCAAGTTGAACATGTTACATCAAGTTAAACAGGAAAATTGACAATGGTTCAAGGTGGGAGGAAAATTTTGTATTCGTATTATGCCGAAGTTCGTGCTCATTATTCGGAAGAAAAAAAGAAGATTCAAACAAAAACTACAATAGGCTATATTTATAACTAATTATATTTTAAATAAAACAGTGAATCGATCACTTTAAACCTCCTTACTAAAAATCAGAGAGGATATCGAAAAAATTAGTTATTAAATTAGAGTAGAAGTGAAATTTTTGAAAACCAAGTTTTTATGAAAATCCGTCGACCAATTTACTAATTTGGAATTTATAATGTATACTCTTTATGAATTATTATAATAACTAAATTTCAACATTAATAATCCATGGAATTAATTTTTTTAAATATTAGGGGTGTGCTATAGACTTACCACCACGTGGTGCACCCTGAGCAACGTATACTCATGCGACAAAAAAGTCTATTAACTGGCAGTTGACTTCTCGCTTCAAACTACCACCACCCCACTGTATCTCATATTCGACTACTTCCACAGTACTCACCTACCTTTTTTACTTCCTTTGTGTCTGTCTCTTTTACATTTTTAAAACACTCTTCTGTTCCCCCACCCCCTCGACATTTTTCGCTTTAATGTTTCTCTCCCCTTGTGAAGCCTGAATTCAACTAAAGGGCTAATGATAAATGTCATAAAGCCTGCCGTTTGATATAAATGAATAAATAGTTTAGTGAGTCAGTTTTGATGCCTCATCGACCCTAATCTTTTAATCCCTATTGGTCGAATTTACTGTGAGGGGTATGAAGAGTTATGCGCGTGACTAAATAAGGTGTTTTGTTAGAGTTTCATAGAGAAAGAATGGTTTTGAGCATTGCAGATCGGGAAACCGAACCCTTAATTATAAATAAACGGAGAGAGGGGGCACTGAAGTTCACCCCAGATTAAGCACTCCAAGTAATAGTATTGGCTTGGCGATAGTTTTGAGCTGGCGGAGAAATTACTGATGACCTTGAAAATGGCCTAACTATTCCCTCAGTCCAAATGCCTTTGAAGTGGATCCTGCATTATTGAAAAAATCGCTTCAATTTAAAATTCTTCTAATGAAGATAACATTCTTTAATCGGTGATAATTAGTAAAAGTGTCGACCAAATTTTAATGACGAAGATATCCATGCACCTAAAGATGAAAATTGTTTTAGTTTTCAAGGGATTTATCTACTAAAAATGCGGGGTGTTTAATCGATTCATGCTAGAATACCAATGAAGGGGATATTCTGATTACATTTACCTGTAGTGTCTATATTTCCTTAATATATAAGAGTACAACAGTAAACACAAACGACTGCGTCACGCAACATTTATCAGAGTAGTTATTAGCTACTTCTTAGGTCAGTAGTGAAGATTCACCTCTGAGCTGGACTCGCTCAAGCATGCTACCATCCATTTTCCACTCAATTTCTCTCTCTAGTAACCAGTTTTGGCACCACTATGGCATCGTGCTGTGGTTGTTGTGGGAAGGAAAACGACGATGCGACTTTAAATAATGCGGGAAAGGCGGATGACGAGGTATTTGAAACCGAGCCAGCAGCATCTGAATTGGAATACATCGATGAATTTCTGGAATCTCGATCCTCTAGCGGGATATCGAGGTCTGACTCTTCGTTGAATGGAGAGGAACCAGTTGATGAGAAATTGACAGTGCTTCAGACTGCTCCTTCGGCTGAATCTAGGAGGAGAAATATGGAGACAATCATTCCTAAATTTGGATACTGGAATATCCGAGGGGTAATTCATATTGGTGTCATTATAGTCTTTCCCTTGAACGTAATCAGCAGTTTTAAGTAGATAAAGATTCTTAAAGCTAATGCAATCATTGCAGGCAGAAATTTGTCTCCCAAATTTCTACCTGACATTCAATACCAAAACAGAATTGAATGCGTGATATCAACCGAAAATCTAAATAATTTGGTTATATTTAGTACCTACAAATTGGGATACTCTTACACTTTCTTGTCCTTTTAGAGGGCGTGAAGCGAAAAAAATAAATCCATCGTGTGCTATTTTAAAACTAAAGCTTTATCCTGAAAAATTGTATTACATGAATTTTGATTCCTAAAATCTAACATTTTTCCTTCATATGGCTAAGCGTGCGTAATAAGAACATAATAAAAAGTCAAAAATGGTTACTATAATCGATTTCTTTTCGCTCAAAATGGGTAAAAGAAGACAGATTTGTCTGCTAATAGGAAAATGAACGCAATCACTAAGTTAAATAAAGAAATTTCGTAATTTGTTTCTTTCCTATCATCCGAATCGATTAGCTCAATGGCATTTCCGAGGGTAGGAACGGCTGAACAAGAAGACCTCAAAGGCATCTAAATTACGATGGAAGTATTTGACGGAAACGTTTAAAATTTAAAAAGACCTTGAATGGTCTTTCCTACCATTTCGAGGGAATCCTTCCCTAATGTCTACCATTTTTAGCACTTTTCGTGATTTTTAATTAATTGAGGCCCATTTTTGTCCCGGCAGAATGTTGGAAGCATAACTTTGAACGTTAAGTTCGACATTGACCTGCATCGGCAGTGTTGTAGTGAGCACAATTATGCCTTCCAAAATATTTCCAACATTCGTGAAATTTCAAATTAATGTTGACTTGGTAATGATTCCCACTTTGCTTGACCTTGTGGGTTAAACGAAAACAAAGTACTGAAGGAGTTTTATCCTGAAAGTGCTTCAGAATTTGCAGGATCCGTTGCTGCAAACATTGTGGAGTAGAATTATTCCCAAAAATGTAGACTTGAAATGCAAGGTTGATTGAAGTAATGCTAAGCAAATATTTGCCCTAATTTTATGTGTCCATCATAACCAATTCTATCTGGTAGGTTAATTACTTAAGCTGTTCCATTGGGACACTGTAAACGATTTTTCTTTCAAGTTAATTTTTCCTCTGAAAGGGTGTATTCTCTTCATCAGCTTGCAATTCTAATACCATGGTGATAGTGTATAAACTGCATAATGCAAGTGTGATAACTTATTCTCATGTCCATTCTAATCATGGGAACCACAAAAAGAGAAGACAGATCAACCTTTTAAAAAGAAGAGGTAGTAGGAGTGAGAGTGACCCTCACAGTCATCAGATCATTTGTCTCTACCGTTTCCATGATGAGTCTACTTCCGTCTTGTTGACATCTTCAAGGTGGAAAGTTAAGCGGACGTGAGTTCGTGTGTTTTCGTTGTCATCACTTTCTACCAGTCAAGTGGGGCAACCAGTCCACTGGGGTTATTTTCCTCAGCACAACCCAGCGAGAAACCAGCGATGTTCAAGTAGTCACACCTCAGTGACAGTATTCGTTGTGTCCGAAATCCGGTTTGGTGCTGAATGCTCCACCACAAGGCCCAAATGCAACGATTTATTGTATTCTGTTCAAACCATGTGGATAATCTCTGTTGGTGACCGAAATCAAGTTCGGTCGTAATGTTCACTTGCAATATTTGCCTTGTTCGTTTATCAGCGATAAAAGTAAATCGATTTGTATCGGTGAAGTTGGAGGTGGACGATTGGTCACCAGCTCTCCTTATCCCTATTGCCCTCTATCACGCTCTTTACAGACCTCACACCTCCCCCCATGTCATGGCAATAGTTAAGATGTTAAGGATCTGTTTCGACCAGGCTACTTGCAAAAGAAGCTGGCTCAAGGCAAGTCACAGCTTAAAACACTGGTCTGAATGTAAATCAACATGGAGGAGAAACAGAAGTGGAGATATCTAATCACTTAACTTGAGTAATGACAACATGAATGACGACTGGGATAGCAGTGCCTCCCATTCGAACCGGACATATGTATCCCCCGTCCTCCCTTATTTACTCATCATAATGGGTGGGGGGAAGTGTAGGGAAAGGGGAGTGAGGGTGTGGCGTTTGAGGAAGTGAGGGGCGTTGAGGGTGCGGATAATGCAAATGACCCAAGTTTGAAGAAGTAAGCTGAAAGATCATATTTCCAGTGCGTTTACAGTTTAATTTTAAATTATCATTTATCATTGTAATTTACAATTCAATCAAATGTAGAACTTTACTTATACCTTTGTGAAAATATGCATTCGTTTTCGTTTAATTCGTGGAATGTTTAATTTTTTCTGCTTTCCAGAGAGGTGAACAAATTAGAATTCTATGTGCACATCTTGACGAGTACTTTTTCGAGGAAGTGTACACTTTTGGACCAGGCAAGTCATTTTGTTCTCGAAGCTTCTATGCTAGCTATCGTTGAAGTTGATCATAATGAATGATATTTTGCTTATTAATAGCCTTTAAAAAGCCTTAAGTAAAATCTAATTAATTGAAAATTACTCCCAGGTCCTGAATATAAAAGCGAAGATTGGGAGGAAAGGAGGAAGAGTTCTAAAGAATATGCAGATCTAGAGGTACAAGGAGAGTTTGAAAACTCACAAACCCCTTTAAATTTAAATGATCGAATTGGCCTATTTCTCTTCCTTTTGCAGCTACCCTATTGGATCGAAGGTGACATCCGTATTAGCGAATCAAGTGGTATAATGCAGCATATTGCGGAGAAGCACAGAATGTGTAAATCTGTTTGAACTCAGCACATTTTTAAAGAAGTTGAGTGATTTTTCCAACACAATTTTTTTCTTCTCATTTAAGTGCCTTCCGATGAGAATATTAGGAAGGAATTACGCGAGGTAGATGATGAAATCAACGAACTCCGATCAGCTTTTGAGGAGTTTAGCAACGATAAGGAGCATGTAAGAGCAATATGTGTCACCATTTGCAAATGTGTTAGGTAATGCGTAATTTGTCAAAGACTTAGAATGCTATATCTTGTGAGCTGGTTCTAATCAGCTGTGACCACTACTCTAGTGAGTGCATTGGCTTTAAGCGGCACACCGTTATCCTGAAAAATTGAAATGCGGTATCCCTCAGACCATTGCCCAATTTTGGTGAATAATTAATGAAGGAGGGGGAGGGAGTGAACCAGTAAGAGCGTGTATACCTGGTTTGAAGCACAGACCACTCAGAAAGGAGGCACACTCAACTCGACTGTCAATATCCTAAACGCTGTCTAATCCAGGTATGTTCTCTCAAACTTTGACGAGAGTGAAGTGGGATGGTCACACTTTTATTTTGTCTGTTTGTTAATGGAACAGCGTTTATTAATGGACCAATAATAAATGCTTCGTTACGAGAACTTCATAGAGGCGGCTCAATATATTTCCCTCTCAAAGGTAAGGGGCAGACAGTAGACATGGTCACATATAAGGTGCAATTTCATCAGCTTTACTGGAAAGTCAATCTACTGCCAATCATTCTTTTTCCGCAGGAGTTGAATAAAGATTTGTTTCTACGTCGAATTACATCAAAGTTGCACAACTTATCGTCAATTCTGGGCAACAGGAACTGGATATCTGGAAAAAAGGTGAGATTGAAGTGTGTTTTACTGAAATTTTGATAAACAGAAAGCACTTTAAAGGCCATTGGTGAGTTAGGATTTATTTGATTGGAATTCAAAAAGCTTCATGGATTCTTAGCTTACAAAAAATAACAGTTCTTTTTAATTGTCGTAATATTAATGGAGATGCAGAAAACGTGTTCTTCCTGCTTTAGGTAAACTATCCGGATTTCAATTTGTACGATTTGCTGGATATGTTGCGCACTCTTGCACCAGAAATCTTGGCCATTCATTTGAACTTAGAAAATTTTATGTTGCGTTTTGAGGTGACTAGCCGTTTTCAGCTTAAAGACCAGAAGCAAATGCCACATTTTTACCTGAACATGCAACCTTTAATTTTAGGGTCTTAATCATGTGAAAGCGTATATTAGAGGAGGAGAATTCATACAGCGACCGTTCTTTTCTCCCAGAGCCATGTGGAACAGTGCAAAGGGCTGAACAAAGACTCGAAAATAGACAGAAACTCCTGTTTGGTTAAGGGGTTGAGGCACAGTTGAAATAAAATCTTTTATCACTGCAGATGCTTTGTTTTAATGGGCTAAGGGGATTTCGAGTTTGTAGCCTTGCACCCTAAACTTAGCGGTCAAGTCAATTCGGAAAACTTGGATATTGTATAGTGAAAGAGCATTCAAGAAATCTACAGGACATTACTAGACTATGGATGGTAACTATGGTCCCTTCCATTTCACCTGATTGACTCCTGCTTATTTCCTGCTGGTGCTTGTGACAAAGTGGTTTTCGAAGCAAATTGAAGCACAAATCTTCACTCAGAAGAGATCGGTCGATTGGTATTGCGGAAGTTGGAGGTAGGTGAATGGCCAACTGCTCTCCCCACTTATAATTCTTTTCCTGAATGCTGACTGTGAGGGCGATGTTTCCCCACATACAAACATGAAGGTTGGGATGTTTATGCAAGTGGAGTGGACTACGAACTGCTTCATTTCATTTGATCGACCCCTCTCATTTCTTGCTGGCATTTGTGATTGGAGTATTTTCAACTTTCATTTCAACTGAAATAACTCATCTGTGAGGTTTATGACAACTTTATGAAATGCTTCTCATTATGACCTTGAACTGCCTGTTGACAGTTGACAGGGTGCTTTGTCATGATATACACTTTCGGGTATGATAAACACGTGCTTCCTTTGGTCATTGATTGGTCGAGAAGTGTCTGAAATGGTGACATAATTTAGTTAATGAATAGCAAAAATTAAATCAAAGCCAAAGTGTCAACAGTTATAGACTTTAAAATCTAAAATAAAATTAGCATTCTTGCAAAATAATTTGTGAATACTATCAAAATGAGGTATTCGATTAATTCAAGTCCAAGTGACAGCAGCCATGACAATGAGAATTTGATTTTATTTAGATTAATAAAATCGAAGTTTGCGTAAGAAAGAGCTGACTCTGTCCAGTGGACTCAATGAGTTGCAATCAGAGAACACAAAGATTTGATGGAAAACCAGCCAATCAGATTGAAGGATTTGACCTTGAAAATGGGAGCATATTAAAGGGGACTAATTGGAAATCTTGACCCATTTGAAATCATGTCGATTACCTTGGGATACTGGAAGAGTAGAGGGGTTAGTTGAGACCGAATACTGGTTTTTGCAAGATAATTATTTGTGACAAGTGTGCCATTTTATTTTTCCTTTCCAAGCTTGGACAGCAAATTCGCCTCTTATTGACTTACTGTGGTGAGAAGTTTGACCAGGAGTTCTATATAGCTGGACCCGGTATGTGAACAGTG